GTTTTATCTACATAGCCGGACTGATCGAGTCCCTGTCGGGCGGTGCGGTGCGTCTTGCCGGCCACCCGCCCGCGGCGGGCGACGACCGTAGGCAGGCGGGACGGCTGGAGCGCGCGGAGAGCCCGCAGCAGGTGAGGGAGCGGGTGGCCGACGACCGTAGGCTGGTGGAACGACGGCGGCTGGAGCGTGCGGAGAGCCAGCAGCAGGTGAGGCAGAGATGCCTGGGGATGGGAGGCGACTGGAGCTGGAAGAGGGTGCTCCGGCTCGTGCTGCCCTGCCAGAGCAGCACCGGCCGGCCGTCTACGAGGTCAAGGACAAGAGGCGGAGACGAGGACGATGGCAAGGCGTCCAGGGCGTGGCCGGCTGCAGTACAGCTGGTCAGCAAGTTGAAGGTACTACCTACGTAGCCTGTTCCCTGTTGTTATTCGTGAACTGCGCTGCATGGATGTTTTTCTCGAATACTGCACTGCATGGATGTTTTCAGTCAGCAAGATGCATTGCTGTCTATTGTCGGAGGCAAGCAGAGTCTGATAGATTTTGGTGCTGCAGGTTAATCGTACGAGTAGGAGGACCGGCGACGGCGGCGACGAGGGGTTGCTGAAGAAGCTCGTTTCGACGTTCCAACGGCAACGGTCGCGGCCGGGTCGCTGACACCATCAGTAGTGAGAGTACATGCAGAGTCAGGAACCGGATGTGCCTGCTGAAGAACCAAATCGATCTTGGCCTCATCTCGTGCTGTAGTGACATAAGGATTTCTGTATTTCGAGGTAGTAGCAGGGGCCTGTAGAATTTTGCCAAGGTTTTGATATTGATCCAATGCAAGCTCATCCGCGGAGGCAGGATGGAACGAGTTCAAAAATCTTGATCCTTGAATCAACTACTCTAGTTTGGCTATCTGGTTCGTGTTCAGTCCCACTGAGAAGCAAAAAGATTTGCACCAGCCGAGAATCAAACCCAGGTCTGTACCGTAGCAGGGTACTATTCTACCACTAGACCACTGGTGCTTCATGATAGAAATGGTATTTCATGATAGAAATGGTATTTACTTCATGTTAGAAATGGTATTACCTCATAGTATTTACCTCATTGTAGCCGGATATGCAAAGTATTGTAACTGAATTTGCATTATTGACAATGTTTTATTTTATAGCCTTTTTGTGCGTGTAGTGTGTTCAAGTTGATGAAGAAAAATTTCACTTCAAAAAAAAAAAGAGAAGATGATGAAGAAAATTCACCATCATGCATTGTTGGTTGAAGTTGAATGAACCCAAATAAAAAATTATACATTGCTATCATCGCCCAAGACACCGAGGAAGAAACCAATGACCGAACCGATCCAACAAATCAATCACTCAAGAAGGTTAGAAGAGGAATCCGAAAAAAGGAAATGGAAGAGAAAGTGAAACAAGAAGGTACAGCTAAGATGACGAAGGAGAATGAATACCTCTCAAGGACTTTGACATCAAAGAGGGGAAAAATTAAAGGAGACGAGGTTTGACTTGTTGATAAAAAAAGCTCAAGCTCGAAGATAAGAGGGTCATGATCGAGGAGAAAAAGACGATGCTCGAATGATGCCACTTCGAAGGACGCAAAGAGGCTTAAGGGCGGAGTTGGATGATGCTTAAGGGCGGAGTTGGATGATGACGCAAGAATGATTGTGCAAACCGTCCATTTCAAGATGCTGAAGTAGTGAAGTAGCAGAAGGATGAGCCAAGAGCAACTCTAGCAGATCCCGTATCCGGCGCAAACCCGCATAATTCCGGCGATTATACGTGCTCGGTCCATTTTTCTGGCCAGACCAGAGCCCGTATCGGTGTTCGGCCCGTAAATATTATTTTTTGCCGCAGCCCGCAAACGTGACCCCCGAGCCACTATAACTGGGGGTTTTCGGAGCAGATGCGGGGCGAAACCCTATCCCCCCGCAGCCGCGTTTCCCTCCAATTCCCCACCGCGCCGCTCGATTTCTCGCTGTCGGCGAGCCTTGAACCACCATGGCCGACTCGGGGGATAAGGCGGAGCGCCGCCGCCGCGCCAGATCTGACGCCACGCGCAAGCGGGGGGCGCGTCGGTGGCTCAACCACGATGCCCGGCCGTCGCCGGCATTCAACCGCCGTGCCTCCTTCGGCAACTGATCCGCGGGAAGCTTATCCGGCCACGGTTCCGCGGGAAGCTTATCCGGCCACGGTTCCGCGGGATGCTCATCCGCGGGCGCATCGAGCTCGCGGCTCGTTCCGGTGAAGAGGGAGCCGGAGGAGGCCGTGCCCGATGCGCCGCCGCGTCGAGGCATCATCGGACCCGAGGACTACCTCCCACCAGGGCAGGAGGAGCTCCTCGAGCACGTCGTCCTCGAGCGGTCGGCGAGGGATCAATAGGAAACGGAAGAGCGCATCCGACTCGAGCTCGAGGACGAGCGGCTCTTCCTTGAGACGGGCCTCACGGCATCGCATGCGCACGCATTGAAGGAGACTGACCTGCGCGTGATGAAGGCGGAGCAGACGAAGCTCACCCGCGGGCGCATCGAGCTCGCGGCTCGTTCCGGTGAAGAGGGAGCCGGAGGAGGCCGTGCTCGATGCGCCGCCGCGTCGAGGCATCATCGGACCCGAGGACTACCTCCCACCAGGGCAGGAGGAGCTCCTCGAGCACGTCGTCCTCGAGCGGTCGGCGAGGGATCAACAGGAAACGGAAGAGCGCATCCGACGCGAGCTCGAGGACGAGCGGCTCGTCCTCGAGACGGGCCTCACGGCATCGCATGCGCACGCATCGAAGGAGACTGACCTGCGCGTGATGAAGGCGGAGCAGACGAAGCTCTATCCGACTGATCGTCGTCGGTGGGCAGCTACCGCAGAAGCTCCGATGAGCTCAATTTTGTTGTAGTGGTGCAGTAGCGTAGGTCATGTCTAGCATATCTAACATTTATGCATGTATGTGGCATGTACAAACTTATTATGCGAAGAAGAACCATCTATGCGAGCGAGCTGCTGCTTAAATTACGAAACAACATTTTTTAAAAATTAGAAGTTTGTTTGCGGTTTCTAGTCTGTCATTGCAAATTTCGGCCTACATAACCACCCCGTGCGACAAACACGGTTTACATGTCGGCAAAATACGGGATCTAGACAAACACGATTTTCATGTCGGCAAAATACTACTAGAATTGCTCTAAAAAGGGCAGAGCAAGAGACGGCGAGTGTCGGATTGCACAAACAGCTGGACTGATAGACATGTTTCAGCGTTGGAGATGCCAAAACCAATTAGCAAAAATATATTTGCACCAGCCGGGAATCGAACCCGGGTCTGTACCGTGGCAGGGTACTATTCTACCACTAGACCACTAGTGCTCCACGTAACAAATGGTATTTGTCAGATTTCATTCCATTTCATTCCTTTCCACAGCAGTGAAAATGGATTGCACCCACAAAGATCTGTGGTGCAACAGTACCCAGCTGAGAGCATCTTCAACAGGTGCTGCAAAAGACGCGCCCGCGCGGTAAAATTTGGGTTTAGCGCGCGCCGGCTGGTTCCCCGCACTCCAGCGGTGGGGGGAAGTTACCGCGCGGGGGAAGCGTTTGCGCACGCGCGGGAGAAAGCGGCACGCGGCGCGGTAGATTTGGTGTGCCGCTTCGCGCGCGCCTATAAAATGCCGCGCTCACCACGCGCACAAACACAACCACGCGCCCTCCCTTCGCAACCTCGCCGCTTCGCCGCGCCACCATCGCGCCACCATGCCGCCGCGCCACCGGGGTTCGTCGGGCTACCGCCGCGTCCGCGAGCGCCCCAACGGCTGGTACTCCGCCGAGATCCGGTCCGGCGACGTCCGGCTCGGCCTCGGGGTTCCGGAGCACGTACGACGCGGCAGCGTGGCGGTTGGATAGGCCCCGGACGTAGATGAACTTCTGGGACGTCTTCACGCGCGAGCAGGTGCAACGCGTCGCCCCTCCGCCGCGTCTCATCACCGACATGGACCGTGCCGACCACGCTCGGCGCTGCCGCCGCCTCCTCATCGCCGAGGAGGACGAGCGAGCCATGGCGGAGTGGCGCCGTCGCCACCCGAAGGACGTCGCCGACGAGCGTGCCTATTGGGCGGAGAGGACGGCAAGGCGCCGCGCGGAACGGGCGGACCGGCGTCGGCGGAAGGCATTGGCGAATGCGCAGTGCGACATTGTTTCAGCAGGTGGGAGGTCGATCTTCACGTCAGACGATGAACGTTGGGACGACATTTGGCTCGATACCTCGGACAACACCGACGAGGATGATGATGGTGATGATGGTGGTAGCGATTTGGAGTAGTTTCTATCTAGTATGCCGTAGTAGTTTCTATCTAGTTGCACCATAGTTCTATCTATTTATGTTTTCGAACTATCTATCGTTGCACCGATGTAAAATACCTTTGTACTCCCTCCGTTCCATAATGTAGCGCATATAGATTTTCTACAAAGTCAAACTTTATAAACTTTGACCAAGTTTATAGAGAAAACTATTTGTATCTACAATACCAAATGTATATAATATGAAAGTATGTGTTGTGATGTATCTAAGCACACGTATTTGGTATTCTAGATGTATATGATTTTCTCTACAAACTTGGTCAAAGTTTATAAAGTTTGACTTTTAGAAAAATCTATATGCGCTACATTGTGGAACGGAGGGAGTATCGTTTTTTTATCTATGCAATTTATCTTTATTTTTTATCTATGCAATTTATCTTTATTTTTATGCTTCTGAAAATATTATCGCGCGCGCTGCATTTTAGCGCGGCTGCTGGAGCCAGCGCTGCACGCCGTGCCAAATCAGGCGATGCGCGCGCGGCAAATCTGTTTTTTACGCGCGGCGCGTGCGTCGCCTGTTGGAAATGCTCTGATAAGAAGTCACTTCATTTATTGGATCAAAATTACAAAGGCTGCTCGTTGCCATGCGTATACAGGCACGCTACAGAACAGACCACACACGATTGGCAAAAAGAAGTAACAAGCAGGTCAGACACACACACGCAGAGCCAGGCGTCAAAATCCACCGTACTCCTTAGAAGACGGCCGTGATCTCGGCCTCCCCGAGCACGTGCCCCTCGATGGCCTCCATGACCTTAAGAGGCAGCAGCAGCAGTCGGGGAGGGCCGTGCTCGTGACCTTCTACGTGGCGAGGCCAAGGAGGAAAGACGGCGGCGGGCTCGTCGCGGCATGTTCACCACCACCACCACCACGATGTTCACCATCACCACCACCACCACCTTCATCACGGAAGCGACGAGGCGCGACGGCGGGGTTCGGAGAACCGCAGGTCCTACGACCGCCGGGCCGAGCTGCTGGAGTACTCGCGGCAGATGAGGGCCTCGGCTGCCGCGGCGACGGCGAGGCCGGTGCGCCCGGAGGAGCCCCTCCCCCCACGTCGCGACGTCGAAGCGGTGAGTGCGTGCGTCCGGTACGGCGTCCATCTTTGTCGGCTCACACATGCTGCAGGGCGCGCCCCTGACCTGTCATCTCTAGTCGCAGGCCGGCGCGGGGCGTTACCCGGCCCACCCGCCGCCGTCGGCCGATCCCCGTTTTATTTACATAGCCGGACTGATCGAGTCCCTGTCGGGCGGTGCGGTGCGTCTTGCCGGCCACCCGCCCGCGGCGGGCGACGACCGTACGCTGGTGGAACGACGACGGCTGGAGCGCGCGGAGAGCGAGCAGCAGGTGAGGGGGCGGGTGGCCGATGACCGCAGGCTGGTGGAACGACGGCGGCTGGAGCGCGCGGAGAGCCAGCAGCAGGTGAGGCAGAGGTGCCTGGGGATGGGAGGCGACTGGAGCTGGAAGAGGGTGCTCCGGCTCGTGCTGCCCTGCCAGAGCAGCACCGGCCGGCCGTCTACGAGGTCAAGGACAAGAGGCGGAGATGACGACGACGGCAAGGAGGATGGCAAGGCGGCCCGGGCGTGTCCGGCTGCAGTACAGCTGGTCAGCAAGTTGAAGGTATATACCTACGTAGCCTGTTGTTCTTCGTGAACTGCACTGCATGTGTGTTTTCAGTCAGCAAGATGCATTGCTGTCTACTGTCGGAGGGCGGAGGCGGCGACGAGGGGTTGCTGAAGGATTTTTTTTTCAAAATTGTGATGTTTTTTATAGCAAATTCGGAATCTATACATTCCCACACATTAAAATCAAAACTAGCATCCCGTCGGCCTTCAGTTGGCCGAAGAGGGGCTCTTCAGCCTACAGTTGATCGAAGTGGGCTCTTCAGCCTCCCGTTGGCCGAAGAGTGCCCCAACTGTGCCGAAAAAGACTCTTTGGTCTGTCATAGGCCGAAGAGCATTCTTTGGTTAACCGTAGGCCGAAGAGTCCTTTGGCCCCGATTTTTCGCGTTAACGGGAGGCCGAAACTGCATGGCTGCGCTCTTCTGCCTATGCTAGGCCTTGGCCCCAAAGAGTACTCTTCGGCCTACGGTTGATCAAAGAGTACTCTTCGGCCTACGGTTGATCAAAGAGTCCTTTTCGGCCTACGGTTGATCAAAGAGTCCTTTTCGGCCCAGACGGAGTGCTAGTTTTGATTTTCTTGCGTAAGTTACACACGTATAGATTCTGAATTTGCTATAAAAATCATCACAATTTTGAGAAAAAATCTTGCTGAAGAAGCTCTTCTCGACGTTCCAACGGCAACTGTCGCGGCGGGGCCGCTGAAACCATCAGGAGTGGAGCACATGCAGAGTCAGAAACCGGTGGCCTGCTGAAGAACCAAATGGCCTCATCGTGTTGTGGTGACAGAAAACGATTTCTGTATTCGAGGTGGTAGCAGGTCAGGGCCTGTAGAATTTTGCCGAGGTTTGATTTTGATCCAACGCAAGCTCATCTGCGGAGGCAAGGACGCAACGAGTTCAAAAGATCTTGATTCTTGCTTTTGGACCAAACCACGTCTAGTTTTGGCATTCAACAAAGCAAAAAAAAGATTTGCACCAGCCGGGAATCGAACCCGGGTCTGTACCGTGGCAGGGTACTATTCTACCACTAGACCACTGGTGCTTCATGTCACTAATGGTATTTGCCAATTTCCATTCCTTCCCACCGCAGTTATTAAAACGGATTGCAATCACAAAGATCTTTAGTGCAACAGTACCCAGCTCATAAGAGGTTACTTCACTTATTGGATCAAAATTACAAAGGCTGGTCGTTGCCATGCGTATACAAGCACGCTACAGAACAGACCACACACGATTGGCAAGGAGAAGTAACAAGGTCAGACACACAGAGCCGAGTGCCAAAATCCACAGAGCTCCTTAGAACACAGCCGTGATCTCGGCCTCCCCCAGCACGTGCCCCTCGATGGCCTCCATGACCTTGTCCACTGTCACCTGCAAAATCCAGCACCACGAATCAGTACTCGCTCACACGTTAAAAAGCTCAGAGCAGAGTCTCTACGACTGAAGTTTGTAGGTGCACTTGCCTTGTTGCCGAGGCTGAGCAGGTCGTCGAGCGCGTAGAGACGGAACTGGATGCGGTGGCCGTGGGAGTCGGGGACGGGGCCGCGCCACCCGGGCTGCTTCCAGTCGTTGACCCCCTCCTGGACGCCGCCGTCGCCCCCGCCGGCGTTGGCGTTGCCCCCGGCGCCGGAGAAGCCCTCGGGCAGGCCCTTCTCCTCGGGCGAGATGTTGACGACCACCCAGTGCGTCCAGGGCACCCGCTCGTCCGCGTCCACGTCCTGCACCACCACCGCCAGCGACCGCGTGCCGTCGGGCACCCCGTACCACTCCAGCGGCGGCGAGATGTCCTTCTTCGCGCCCTGCCCCTCCAGCGTGTACTGCCGCGGCAGCCGCCCCTCGTGCGCCGACACCGGCGGGCACACCAGCCTCAGGCTCTCCTGCGCCATCTCGCTTCTCGCCGGCCGGCCCCTCTGCCCGCCTCTCTCTTCTCCTCCCCCCCGGCTGCTGCTGATGCTCGTGCGATGAGTTTGCTGGATTGTTCTGGTTGCTGTGAGGCTGTGTGTGAGTGAGTGACCATGCGCTTGACGTGGTCGGGTTTATAACGGGGAGGGTGGCACGCGGCGGGGGGATTCCGCGGGACGCGTGGCCGGCGGTGCGGGGTACGTGTAGGTGTAGTCGGCTGGAGGCGTGGCGTGGGTTCCTGGAGGGTCGGCGTCGTCGGGGACCCCGCGATGAGAAGAAAATCTGGGAGACTGCAGATTTGCGATAGTGTTTTTGAAACGAGGATCAGATTTGCGATAGTTAATCCGTCGTGCTCGCTTCCTGCTTTGGCCAGGTGTCCCGTGCCGTGCCCGTCTCTTTTGGGCACGAGGAAGGCCATGGAAGATTTGCTTTCGCTTACTAGTGGTACTCTTTTTGTTTTTCCTTTTTGATTGAAATGGTCATTTCTTTTCCAGTCTGCTATTCGTGGATTAAGAGGGTGTTGGAATGGGTGTGTTTTTACTTGTGAATTAACTAAGATTTGTTCCTATTTCTTTTCCCTAGCTGTAATGGCCTGTCCGGACAAAGATAAGGACTGAGAATCGTACAAGTGTCCATCCCAATGGCATTACATCAGGAAAATCATTATGGCCCTCAATTGTGCATATATAATTCAAATCAGACGACGAAGGTTCTAGATAGCTCACAATGTTGCATAGTTGTCTTTTTTTTTTCTTGAGACAATGTTGCATAGCTGTCATTTGTCAACATAAATGAAAGGAAATGGATGAGCTATTGAATTGCATAGTTGCCAAGTGATCTACGTGCGTGGTTTGCATGGATTCGGAGGAGGAACGAGGGACGTGGGTGGGCAAATGAGGCTCAGTCAACTGTTGTCCACGGACAAATGGAGGGTGGGGGGCACACATTTGATGTTTATGGTTGGAAATGCTCTAACTGACTGTGCATGCTTGCAGTGCACGTGTACCATCAGAATCATGTTTACTTTGATCATGAAGAATGTTCTCATATAGACTTAGCCTAACATTTTCATTTGATACTAGAGTTTTTCCTCATAATTTCTTTCAAACAATTTGCATTAATAATCCCTTCATGCTTTCTATTTGGAAATCTTGCTAGTTTCAGTTTGTATCTCTTTGTGATAGTATTGGGCGAGAGTTTCCCCTAATTTGTGAAGGCTTTGTCAGCCATTAGATGATTCGTCGTCGACATAACTCTCTGAAATAGTTAGACTCGACACCGTACAATGTATTGTTCATCAAATGCAAATAATAACAATGGAGTCCCTTTTGAAAGATTCTTTTATTATACGACTAGCCTTGAGGTATTCCCTAATTTTTTCAGACGGTACAACAATGAGCACAGTGTCATAAGTCACAATAGCTACAGAAACTACCTACTCGGCAACAATGCCAAACTGTGTAGACGCTGCAGCATTGGCAAGCATATGCATTCACAGCACAAATCCAACATTCCTTCACTGTACATGCTAATGTCGACACAAAAAATGCTATTAATTATTACGCTGTTATATATGGCCACATGCCTTGAAATAAGGAGATATTTTGGTTCTCTAGAAAACAAGCATCACAAGTCCTTCTTTTCTCCAAATACATAATTTGTGATTCCACATTGGCAGCTTGTATTCCCTGGAGATAAGCTTGTGAAAAGAATTCTATGAGACTAGGTCTCACGCGAGATCCATCCTGATGGATGACACGTGGCATTCACAAATCACAAAGCATCCCCCAC